TTAAAAAAAAAAAAAAAGTCAGGTAAAAAAACATTATATCATGATCATAGCTTTTTTTTTTTTTTTTTAATCCACGTGGGCTTTTATACAATTAAAAGGATTCCCTTGACTGTTGTAGCACAGGTTTGATTTGCCACTGAAACTTTCAAGTCCAGAGTATGTTTTGAGATATTTGTTACTGGTTTCTCATTTTATTTAATTATTACAAAAATCTAGTCTATATAATACTGATTTTATATTATTGTTATTATTATCTTATGTTTGCATTTGTGGCCTGTGGAACCCAGAACTTAGATTAATCTGGATGAGGTAGCTCCTGGGCAGTCCACTGTTCTGGTCGTAGACTTGAGGACTGGGTCCTCTCAACTGAGCATGCAGTCCTGAAAATGGGGTGGCACTGTCAGGTTGATTTATTGCTGGTCTATTGTCTCTCTCCGCTCTCTAATGTAAGCTTCACCATGGTGGACTATCTCGTTCACTGATGGATTCATAGTGGCATCGCAATCCAGACCACCCTCCTGAAACATAACGGCTGCCCACTGTTTGCTGAATGAAGCAATGCATGTGTGGGCTGTTAGAAAGCAGTCATCTGGAATGGTCAGGCAGGTGGTCTGTCCATATGCTATACTTGTAATTCGGTGAGGTCCAGGCATCTCCTTCTCAGGTTCCCTATAAACCAACTATGCCAGGCTGTGTGACCGTGTCCATGTGGGTAAGCAGGAATCCCCTGTCTCCCTCCTACTGCCTTTCCTGTTTCTCTCTCTGCTATCAGCTTCATGAATTTCATTTTCTTGAATGATCAACAGGCAGATTCTCCACATTAGAGGAAGATCTCCAGACCATTGTCTATCAAGATAAACCCTATCTGCACATTCTGATGACAGAGACAAACCAGCTGAGGTCTTTATTATAAAGAGTGGTTCTCATCATGTGGTCCCCAGACCGGAGCAGCAGCATCACTTGGGAACTTGTTAGAAAGGCAATTTACTTTCTTTTAGAACTTCTTGGATTCTCATCTCAACCCTAGACTTTCTGGATCTGAAAGTTTGGGATGGGGTGGGGGTGGGGGGTACAGCAATGTTTTTAAGCCTCCTGGTGATTGGTGATTCTGATGCACACCCAAGTATCAGAACCACTGCTGTGGGCTGTATTAATTCTACTCCTGTTATTCTTCCCTTCTCACACAAGACCTTTCCATCAAGAGTGTGGAATTATGTGTCCCAAGAGTACCACTTTCAGGCAGATGGTAGATGGTGATACCTGGGGAAGGGATGCAGCAAAACTCACCATGTATCTGTTTTAGAAGTAAATATTCCTTCCATGAAGGCCTCTGGGGGCATCCATTTAACTGGCAGCATTGCACACCCTCCCTTTCTGTAGTAGCTGGCTCTGTGAGAAAAAGAGGACAACAGAGTTGGCTCAGGAAATGGTACTTACTGAGTGGAAGTCTGCCAGGAAATTCAGGAACATGGCAACAATGGGTCTACCCAAACAAAAGATGAAATTAACATATTTGTATTTGAGTCCTGATATGGTGCTGTCGAATAAGCCCTGGACTTTTAACTACAGAGTTGGTGGTTCAAACCCACCAGCCACTTCTCAGAAACCCTATACTGTTTCATTATGAGTTGGAATCAACTTGAAGGCACTTAACAACACAACATTGGCAATTTAGGAGGTGAGCAGGATAGCACAGATTATTAGTTAAGAACTTTGGTTTGGTTTAACTGGAGACAAAATAAACTCTTAGAGGCATGAACAAAAAGATCTATGCGATGACTAAAATGCCCACTAGCAGACATTTTCCTGTTGGGTTTTGTTTATTATAACTCACAATGAATAGCACTCCTCCAACCTTGTAAGCTTGTTAGTGATTATCTGTAGTAACAGAAGATCCAAAACAGGAGACAAGTTGTGCCTTGTTCATTTGTGAATCCTCCCTGGCACTCTAAGTATTTAGCTCAATATAGGTATTTGACAAATAATCAGCTACATTAACAACATCATTGGTAAAAACTAACTCATATGCCTGGTTAGCCAACTTACCAGGTGTTATGGAAGGCAGCTTCCAGCCAGCTGCCTAAATGTATTGATTTAATATATATCACTAAGTATTTAGTAAGCTTAGAGCACTCTCCTAAGTGCTGAGTTCATAAATAAGTCATAGTCTTACCCTTTGAACAGAGCAAGATGATACTGTATGGATTAAAATCAGGAAAGATATGTGTTTGGGTTGTATCCTTTCACCATACTTATTCAATCTGTATGCTGAGCAAATAATCTTAGAAGCTGGATTATATGAAGAAGAGCATGGCATCAGGTTTGGAGAAAGTCTTATCAACAACTTGTGATGTGCAGATAGGACAACCTTGCTTACTGAAAGTGAACAGGAGTTGAAGAAATTATTGATGAAAACTGAAGACTACAGTCTTCAGTATGATTACACCTCAACAAGAAGAAAGCAAGAATCCTCACAACTGGACCAGTAAGTAACACCTTGATAAATGGAAAAAAGATTGAAGTTGTCAAAAACTTCATTTTGTTTGAATCTATAATCAATAGTCAAGGAACTCTGGTAGCGCAGTGGTTATGAATCGGGCTGCGAACCTTAAGGTCATCAGTTTGAGACTACTAGCCGCTCCACGGCAGAAAGATGAGGCTTTCTGCTCCCGTAAAGATTTTACAGCCTCGGAAACCCTGTATAGGGCCGCTATGGGTCAGAACCAACTAGACGGCACTTAACAACAATCAATGGTCATGGATGCAGCAGTCAAGGAAGCAAACAACATATTCAATTGGGCAAATATGCTGCAAAAGATTTCTTTAAAGCATTAAAAAGCAAAGCTAGCCTTTTTACGAAGATGGCGCCGAAGGCAAAGAAGGAAGCCCCTGCCCCTCCCAAAGCTGAAGCCAAAGCAAAGGCATTGAAGGCCAAGAAGGCAGTCCTGAAAGATGTCCACAGCCACACATGCACACACACAAAAGTCCACACATCACCCACCTTCTGGCGGCCCAAGACTCTGAGGCTCTGGAGGCAGCCCAAATATCCTGGGACGAGCTCCCCCAGGAGAAACACGCTTGACTGCTATGCCGTCAACAAGTTCCCTTTAATGACTGAGTCAGCCGTGAAGACAATTGAAGATAACAACACACGTGTGTTCACTGTGGCAATCAAGGCCAACAAGCACTAAATCAAACAGGCTGTGGAGAAGCTCTATGACATTGACGTAGCCAAGGTCAAAACCTTAATCAGGCCTGATGGAGAAAAGAAGGCATATGTTCCACTGGCTCCTGACTATGATGTTTGGGATGTTCCCAACAAAATTGGGATCATCTAAACGGAGTCCAGTCGGCTAATTCTAAATATAAATTTTTTCAATACATTAAAAAAAAAAAAAGCAAAGCTATCACTTTGAGGACTAAGGTGTGCCTGACCTTAGTTTTGCTAGGAAATGCCAGGAAACACCTGGCATTAAATTATAATTGAATTAAGGTGTTGGAGAAGAATATTGAATATACCATACACTGTCAGAAGACAAACAAATCTGTTTTAGGACGGTGACACTTGTCTCATGTACTTTGGACATGTAATCAGGAGAGACATCATGCTTAGTAAGGTCAGTGAAAAAGAAAAAGCCCTTCAATGAGATGAATTGGCACAGTGGCTGCAGCAATTGGCTCATATATAGCAATGACGGTGAAGATAGCTCAGTGTTTCACTCTGTTACACGTGGGGTTGCTGTGAGTTGGAACTGACTCAATGGCACCTAACAACTCTCCCTCCTAAGGATATGGTTTAGTAGAAGAAACATACACAAACAGCTACAGTACAGAATAACACACATTATACAGCTATGGTCAGAGTTCTGCAGCACAAATGAATAACTGATTCATTCTACCTGGGGTGGGGTGAGGGTTAGGGCTAGGAAAAGTCTCATAGAGGAGGCTTGGTGGAGCAGAATGATGGAGAACCTCTCCAGAAGACGCAGAAGACTTCATGGAGTATATGGAGAACAGAGAGAACTGCAGGAAATTTAAGGGTGGTTGAAGCCAAGAGTTGGGGAGTTGTCAGAGATGAGGCTAGAAAGAAAGAGCCAGATTGCAAAGGGCTCACTAAGACTTGCTGCAACATTTGGATTTTAAACTCTAGGCAGTCCCAGGACTACTCTGAGAGAGAAGGGAAGGAACACTGAGGCTTTCTGGGTAGTAAAAGAAGGCAAAGGAGAGTATGGATACCAATGTCTACCAGTGACTGATGGTAGTTTTAAACATTGTTACTCACAATCCTCCATGTGTTCTTACCTGAAGGTCAGGATTCTCACCCTGCAGAGATTTCCCCTTCAGGCTCCTGCTGGGGTGTTTGGATTGATTTCTTCTATTTTTCAAAGAACTAAAGCTCTGTTTAGCCATTTCTCCTCATTCTACCCCTTGGGGTTGTTGTTAGTTGCTGTTGAGATCTCCCCCAGACTCATGAACACTCCATGCATAATGGAAGAAAATGCTGCGTATGACTAGACCATTGCGATTCATAGGGTTTCCACTGGCTGATTTTTGGAATTAGATTATCAGACCTTTGTCCTAGTCCATCTTAGTCTGGAAACTCCACTGAAACTGTTCAGCATCATAACAATACCCAAGCCTTCAAGACAGACAAGTTGTTGTTGTTGTTGTTGTTATTAAGTGACATTGAGTTGGTTCCGACCCACAGAGATCCTGTATAGGGTTTCCGAGGAACAGCTGGTGAGCTTGAACCTCTGATCTTGTGTTCAAATTGATTTTGTAGTCCAGCACATTAACCACAGCACCACACCAGGACTCTGGTAGTTGGGGTAGGGAAGATATAATTGGTGACCATGCATTTGAGTGACTAGCTCCCCTCAAATAGTAAATCAAACCAAATGCTGTAAATAATTAGAAAAAGAAGAGACTAGGATTGGGAAGAGAAGAAAAATAAACTGGCATCGAAAGTATCTTATCTTTTTTAAAAACTCAGCGTTGGGAATATGACAGTAAAAAGGAAGGAAGCTAAGCTAAGTATCTATGGACTTTCAAACGACTCTCCTGGTGTCGGTAAAGAAAAATAATGAACTAGTCCACATATCTTGTCAAGTCTGGGGTGATTTTGCCTGGGGTGATGAAGGTTATGACTGTTTAGTATTCCTGAGTATTGAGGAAAGGGGTTGAGAAGGCTAAACAAAGTTTACACAACAGGTTTTTCTTTTGTTTTTGTTTTTCCATATCAAGTATTCAAGTTATTCTGTGTCTCAGAATATGGTATGTAAGTATGAAAGAGTTAGAATCAAAAAGACAACCTAATTAAGAACGTGTTGTCAATAATTATAAGTAGTATGGGGCTAGCATTAGGCCTTCAGGTGTGGGCACTAATTAAAATTTTCCACAGCTTGAAAAAGAATGTAATGATTTCTTAGGAGGAAAACTGACAAAGTACCAGGACATGATTGCTAAGGTACAAGCAGCCATCTGTCCCTCTCCGGAGGAGAGAAGGCTGAAAAGACTTGCTTTGATGGTTGATGGCAAGTTTGCTTACCTGTAGATATCTCTGGCCATTCCAAAGTCTCCAATCTTGGCCACTCTCCCAGGACCTGGACAGGTCAAGAGGCAGTTCCTGGCAGCAATGTCACTGGGAAAAAAGAAATGAGAAAACAAATTTCCTTATTTTATCACTGGGAAAATAGGCAAACATATAATATGTCTGAATGGGATTATCACCTTCAAATGAAGTCCAAATAGCTGCCTCCTCTGCCCTTCATTTCCTTTTTATGTTATGCTTCAATATGAAGGAAACATTTATACAAATTCTAGTTCTCAAGAATAACAGGGAAATGGAAAAGATTGTTATTAAGTGCTGTTGAGTTGGTTCTGACTCACACGTAGCGAGCCTGTATAGGGTTTCCCAGGATTACAGAAAGAATTACAGAAGGTGAAAAATATTACAGAAGCTTATAAAAATAATGAAAAAACAATAATAGGAAGTTGAATTTATTGGCCATTTACTATGTTGTGAGCACTGTTCTGGAGTACTGGTGTAGCACAGTAGGATAATTCCCTGAACCACAAGGTCAATTTGAACCAAAAGGTAGGCAGTTCAGACTCACCAGCTTCTCCTCTGAAGCTTCATACAGGGTCCCTATGAGTTGGCACCAAATCGCCAGCACACAACAATAACAAGCGTTTTTCTAAGTGTTTCATATCTATCTTCACAACAACTCTGTGAGATATGTTTTGTTGTTACGTGCAGTCAAGTCAGTTCTAACTCATAGTGACCCTGTATAGGGTTTTTGAGGAGCAGCTAGTGGGTTTGAACTGCCGACCTTGTGGTTTGCAGTTCAGTGCTTCTCCTACAGTGCCATGCGAGGAGTCCTATGAGATACAGGCACTATTACTTTCCTCATCTTATTAATATAAAATTAATGGTAAACCCTGATACTCCATTGCATTGATTGTAATTCATAGCAACCTTATGGGCCAGAGATTGTAAATCTTTACAAAAGCAGATTACGACCTCTTTCTCCCAAGGAGTGGGTGGTAGTTTTCAACAGCTGACCTTCTGGTTCACAGTCAAGTACTTAACCACTTTGCCACCAGGGATCCTATAAAAAGCAGACAATTGAGACACATAAAAAATGCCATCTGGCCTTGGCTATTGTCTTGCACGGACAACTAGTTGGTATCTGCCAGCTGCTTTAAAGAAGTGATTTTGAACAACATGCCATCTATGGCATCAAATGCAAGTAAGTCAAAACAAAGCACTGGATAAAGTCATAATATATGACTTTAGGAAAGCTGGTTCCAAAATGTCAAAAGAAAGATGACCATGATCCCTTGGCCTGAAGATCTGACCACTGCACAGTTTGCTCTCAGATGAGTCCAGGCTTACAAAAAGGGCATCTAATCAAAGGCAAATTCCAAAAATGGTCCAACCATGCAACAGCTGGACAATAATAAAGGACAGGGCTGAGATTTATGGGAAATGCTGAGTACAACCAAAGGACAGGAGCAAAAGTGCAGGACTGACCTGCAGAAGATGTAGCTTCGGACAAGGACCTAAAGAACTGTCCCAGCTCCTTTGAGTTAAACTGAATGACACTCAGGTTGGAAAGTCTTAGAATCACGAGGAAGAACTGAAGACCAACAGGGTGAAATGGCATGATGATAAGCTATTGTGAGAGTTTATTGTCTCATTTTAGGAAGGCTTTAGGGAACATGTTGTTGTTGTTATGTGCCATCGAGTCGGTTCCGACCCATAGCGACCCTGTATAGGGGTTCCGAGGGTGTAAATCTTTACGGGAGTAGAAAGCCTCATCTTTCTCCCGTGGAGCAGCTGGTACATAGGCAAGTGTATTTCTTGATTCTTAGTTTCTCCAATTTTAATAGGGAGAGCAAACATAGCTTGTTACCTATGCACATTTTTTTTTTTTTTTTAAATTTCTAGACACAAATTAAGAAAACTTAACTGACTTTCTAGTCAATTGTGACTCATGGAAACCCCACATGTGTCCAAGTAGAATTGTGTTCCATAGGGTTTTCAATGGCTGATTTTTTGGAAACAGATCATTAGGACTTTTTTCTGAGGTAACTTTGGGTGGTGGCCTCAAACCTCACACATGTTAATTAACCACTTCCACCATCCAGGGACTCCTATTCCATGCTGTTGAGTTGATTCTGACTCATATAGGATTCTGATTCTTCTTGTTGTTAAGTGCTGTTGAGTTAGTTCTGACTCACAGCAACCCGGTACAGGGCTTAGTAGCGGCTCGTAGGTTTGAACTACCGACCTTGTGGTTAGCAGTCCAGTGCTTATCCTACAGAGCTATACCAGTAGTCCAGGACTCTGATAGCATCTATTATAATCTACTTTGTACTTTACCTAGTTTAATTATTATGAACATGGCTTATAGTCTTTGATTACATGGGTTCATAAATGATATGTTTGGTAAAGTGGAGGCTCAGCCACAAAGAAGAAGACCCCCAATGAGATGGATTGACACAGTGGCAGCAGCAATAGGCTCAAGTTTAACAACAATTGTGAGGGGGACACAGGATGGAGAAGTGTTTAGTTCTGTTGTTCATAGGGTCGCTATGAGTGGGACCCCACTCCATGGCACCTAACAACAGCAACAGTGATGATCATGGCATCCAAGTTGAGATATATAGCAAAAGAATGAAGTATGGAAGTAAAAAAAAACTACTAATTTTGCTTAATTTCAGAGTATTCTAGGGAAAAACTCTTTGGCCAACAACCATTTATTGTGCCCTCAATATAAGGGGTACAAAAGAGCTCTGGTAGCATAGTGATTACAAGTCAGGCTGCTAATCTCAAGGTCGGCAGTTTGAAACTACCAGTGTTCTGTGGGAAAAAGATGAGGCTTTCTACTACCATAAAGATTTACAGGCTTGGAAACCCTATGCTGAGTCGCTATGAGTCAGAACCAACTCCATGGCATACCACCACTACCACCAAAGAAAAACAAAGCCTTCCAATTACCCTTAACTGTTGTTGTTATGTGCCGTGGAGTCAGTTCCGACTCAGGCTATAAATCTTTATGGGAGCAGAAAGCTTAATCTTTTGCCTGAAGAACCGCTTTTAGTTTCGAACTGCTGACCTTGTGGTTCACAGCCCGATTTGTAACCACTACACTACCAGAGCTCCCTTAACTAAGTACTGTGAAATAAGACCATTGTTAACTTCCCCTCAGGAGCCCAATTATCTAGACTGGGGTAACCTTAAAGGATATAGGAGTTGAATCGTCCAACTTCCCCTGAGGAGCCCAATTATCTAGACTGGGGAAACCTTAAAGGATATAGGACTTGAATCATCCACTCCAAGATTCAGACAGGAATTTAGATAGATCAAGAGTAGCTCACTGAAGTTTCCAACACATGGGACAAAATAAAATTCTGATAGATGAAGTTATTGCCTTATTGATAAGCAAGTCTGAATCATTCAAACCACCCCAGAAAGGGATCTATTGCAGACATACTTCATTTTAGTGTGCTTCATTTTATGGTGCTTTGTAGATATTGCATTTTTGTTTTTTACAAATTGAAGATTTGTGGCAACCTGCATCAAGAAAGTCTATTGGCACCATTTTTTTTTCCCCAGTAGCATGGGCTTATTTCATGCCTCTGTTTCACATTTTGGTAACTCTCATTGCGATAGTTAAGGTTTTGTGTCATTTTGACTTGGCCAGGATTTTCAATGATTTGTCAGTTACGATGTAATGACCCCCCATGATGAGCTCTAATATGATGTAATCAATTCTATGGTGCTATGAACAAACAGCCTATCAACTGGAAGGAAATTTCCTTAGGGGTGTGGCCTACTTCCAATATATGGGACACTTGGGCAAAGCTTTCTGGCTTTCTGCTGAGTCTGGTCTCTGCATCTGAATCATCACCTAACCTCTGATTCTTTGGACTTGAGCTAGTGGCCTACTCTATTGCCGCAGATCCTGGGAGTTGTCAGCAGCCTGCCTTCTTATCTGCCTGATCTGCCTGTCCTGCCTTCCTGATGCCGGCAGCCTGACATGCAGATATTGGTTTATTTGACTCATAGACTTGGGACTTGCCCACCTCTACAACTGTGTGAGCCATTTCCTTTCTATCAAGTTCTCTTAGATATATATACATAAACTTTACTGGTTTTGCTAGAACACAACCTAAGATACAATATATCAAACTTTTCCATAACAACATTTCACACTTAATAGATTATATTATAGTCTATACAAAAGTTTCATATACGAGGGAGAGTCAAAAATTATCCGCACTCAGGTCATATTAAAACTCTCATCCACGTCCATAGCTGATGACAGTATTGAGTGTCCACGTGAAATGACTCTATTGAATAGAAAAGTGGCAGTGGATTATGTGGCAAATCATTTGAAAATCAGCCATGGCTCTGTCTATGAAATAATCCATGACAGACTTGGGTTTCCAAAAGTTTCTGCTAGATGGGTATGGAAACAACTTACGGAAGAGCATAAACCGAAGCGTTTGGGCATATGCCAACAAAATCTGGACCAATACTGAAAGGAAGGTAAAAGTTTCTTTTAAAAATTGCTACTGGTGAAGAGCCATGGATTCATCACTATGAGCCTGAGAGAAAATGGCAGAGTCTGGAATGGAAACATCCTTAATCGCCAACCAAGAAAAAGTTCAAAAGTCAACCATCAGCTGGGAAATTGATGCTTACCATTTTCTGGGATTCTCAAGGAAAAAGGTTCAATAATCAACAGTGCTTGCTACAGTGAGATGCTCACTGAAGAGCTGAAGCCTAAACTCCAGATAAAGCACAATAGAATACTATCCGAGGGCTTGTAACCTTGCATGACAATGCATGTCCACACACCTGTGCTCACACTGTGGATACCCTACCGAAACCTCGTCTTGAGATGTTAAAGCATCCTCTCTATAGTTTGATCTTGCTCCATTGGATTTTCACCTGTTTAGTTCCATTCGAGTGTAAAGATTCACCTCTGATGAAGAAGTGAAGACAGTGGTGCATTCGTGGCTCACAGATCAGCCTAAAACATTTTAAAATAAGGGAATGCAAAAGCTTGTTGACAGATGGACAAAGTGTATTTGGAGAAAAAAAAAGGAGATTATTTCAAGAAATGATGTATCTGTCTTTTCTAAAAGTTGATTAAAATAAATTCTATATCCAGAGCATGGATAATTTTTGACTCACCATTGCACCTTGGGAAACCAAATATTTCATGTGACTCACTTTACCGCAACAGTTGCTTTATTGCAGTGGTGTGGAACCCAGCCTGCAATATCTCTGAAGTATCTCTGTACTCTAATCTCGAGTGGAGTTGTGTGAGGACACAGAAGGTGGAGGGGACAGTACGGCTATTTTGACTCACCGGTGGATGAAGTGGTTTTCCTCTAAGTACTGACAGCCACAGGCAATGTCCCGGGCCACATGCAGCAGGTCCAGCATGGCCAGGGAGGAAGGCTGATTCTGCGGGAGACAGAAGCCATCTACTGATGAGAAAGAAGTTCCTAGGGGAGAGAAGATCTTAAACACTAGCTTTGCTCACAAGGAGGCCAAACATGAACACCTTGCTCACTAGGGATTCTCAGTCCTGGCTGCACATTGGAAATCACCTAAATCTACTGCAAAGAGCCCTGGTGGTGCAGTGGGTTAAACATTGGTAAGCAGTTTGAACTTACCAAGGCAGCCTGGAGGAGAAAGATGAGGCTGTCTGCCTCTGTCAAGATTTACAGCCTCACAGACCCTACAGAGCAGTTCTTCTGTCCCATATGGTCTCCAGGTATCAGAATCAACTTGACAGCGGTGGATGAGTGGTAACCTTGTTGCAATGGAATTATTCAGACTCATGGCTGCCATGTGTTATAGAGTACAACCGTCCCATGAGGTTGTCTTGCCTGTAATCTTAATGGAAGCAGGCCATCAGAACTTTTCTCTGTGGAGCTGCTAGGTGGACTTGAACTGACAACCTTTGCAAACAGACAGCTCACTGCAAACCACCTATAGCCCCCATCCCCACCAGGCTCCTTAGAAATCACTTGGGCGGCTTTAAAAGTACAAATGCCCAGACCCCAGCCCAGATCAACAAATCATCTTAAAGCCTCTCAGTGGATTCTAACGTTCAGTCAGGACAGAGAAACCCCGCACAGCACAAATACAGGCGAGAACAGATAATCTTTTCCCCCTTTTATTGTTGCCTTTTTTACTTTTTTTTTGTAATCACAATCTTTATGAATATTTGAGCCCTAAATTTACAAAACAAGTTTGTTAGGAAACCTGGTATGGTACTGTAGGATGAGCACCAGATTGCTAACTATAAGGTCCGTGGTTTAAATTCACCATCCGCTCCTCAGAAACCCTATAAAGTGTCTCTACGAGTGAGTCAGAATGGACTCAACTGCATTTAACAGTAACAAGGAAACCAAGAGAGTTGATGCTATTTTTAAAACTCCTTAATTTCAATTTATTTTTTATTGTGGCAAACATATACTAGCATGTGGAACATAACATTTGCCATCCCAGCATTCTTTATATGTGCAGTTCAGGGACCTTAAATGGTTTTTGTACAATCATCACCACGAGCTGTCTCCACATTTTTCCATCACCCAATTTAAATGTTTTAAAGGACTTTGTAAAAATTAACTTTCTTCAAGAAGATCTAGAACTAAAGTGGACTGAAAAAGAAAAGCTTTTGGGGAAGGGTCTGGACCAAAAGGTCAGTTTGTACTATAAGGTCAGTGGTTCAAACTCACCAGCGTCTCCTTGAAAACCTTGTACAGGGTTGCTATAAGTTGGAATTGACTCGACATCACTTAACAACAACAACAAGGCAAATTAGGGGACTGTGGTGCCTCTGTAGCACTGGACTGCAAACCACAATGTTGGGGGTTCAGCCAGTTTGTGGAAGAAAGATGAGGCTTTCTGATCCTGCAGAAGCCAACTCAATGGCACTTAGCAATGGCAATAAGGCAAGTGAAGAGCGATCTCTAGCTTTTCTGTGAAAGGAGATGACACCTCGCCTTTGGGATGCACCCTATCTCGGTGTTCTTGGACACCCTTGTTAACTGCTATGGAGTCTTTCTGAAGGCTGCATCGCAGCTCTCCTCATTTCTAAATCACCAAAGCAGCCACAGAATGTAATGAGTTGATGTCACAGTGTCTTTGTTGTTCCATGTTTATTTTATTTCACTGTGTCCTGAGTAAATTTGGAGGTTCCCGAGGCAGGAACTGAATACTACACTCCTGTAATATCCAGCAGCATGTCTGGCCCACTGAATATTGACTGGTTGGTTGATTACATCTGTGAACTAGGATTTACCTGGAGGGCAATGGTTCAAATCCCTACATAAGAAAACAGGCAAATCAAACCTTTTAGAGTCCCTTTGGGTTGTCCAAACAAGTTGGAGACTCTTGATGAATGGGGCAAACTTCTTTCGGAGAATTCATGCTTGTATATGGCTCTCATATTTTTATTTTCCTTTGAAGAAACTCAGTTTCCTTTTATCCTTATCCTCATTGCATCCCTAAGTGGGGAAGGTAAGCACTGGGCTGTGTAGTTCTGAGGTGCCTGTTGTGAATGCTTAGCAATTATTGGGTAGCTGGCTGTGTATGTTGTTGATAAGAGCCTTCTGAACTAATATTTACCTGGAGGAGATGGTTCAAATCCCTATGTAAGAAAACAGACAAATAAACCCTCTTCAAATAAACCCACTTAAAGTCCAAGTCTGGATGCAGACTCTTAACTGGCTGGGCTTTTCTGGGAAGGTTGCAGATCAGGACCTTCCCTGGGGCTCCTTTGAGCACTGGGTCTGGGGAGAGGGAGAGGGGAGTCATGCTTCTCTGGGTCAAGTTGTAATACTGAGGTGGAGCTTGCAGGGGGAGGGCAATTTTGGGACCTGCGGAACATACAGCTGCGTCACCATTCAATAGAACAATTCCACATACATTGTCTGATACAGCATCCTGTAGGGTAGCTAAGGAAGAAATCGTTATGTCCTTGTTACAGATGAGAAGACTGGGAGTTCACCCCAGGTCACACAGCTAATACTGAAACTGCCCCGAGCTGAGTTTCCAGGATCTGGGTTGTTGGAGGCAGGGTTCTAGGCATTAAAATTGAGATTCTTAGGAGACAGCGCCAGAGAAGTGACAGAGTATCAGCCAGGACCGTACACAGCAATCAAGTAAACACAGAACTCAATCCACACGTACAGGGAGCAGCATGTGTTCATGGTCAGTTGAACTTGCTTGAGTTTCAATCTCTGCTCATTCCTTAATGGCTGTGTGGCCTCAGGCAAGCTACTCAGTCTCTTTCCAAGCCACAGTGTCTTCAACTGTGAAATTGGCATGATAGGACTGCCATTCCTTGGACTGCTATAAGGATCCACATGAAGAAGTTAGTGTAGTGCCCCAGTGTCAATGCGTTAACAAAGGGATCTGCAATGATCATTGACGTTATTATACCAGGAGACTGGAAAAATTCTAGGACATCATTCCTTGTGTTTGGCTTTTCCAAAGACTTTGCTAGGGCTGCAAGTAGTGAACTCTGGGCCGTGGGGTGGACCCCATGTTGCAGTGGGAGATGAATGCATTTCAAAAGGAAAGAATTCATATGCTGATGATGCACAGAGGGGATTGTAATCATTGCAATGCAATGAAATATGATAGGATGAGTGTAAAACTGATGGTCTCCTGCATAAACTTTCATTCAGTTCACACTAAAAACTTTGAACAAAGTACACAAATCAAAATTGTAAAGATAAATAAAACTTCAAAAAATAACAACACCTATGTTACCCAGATTTAGAAACATGTAACTACCAGCATCTCAGAAGTCCCCTTTATGCCCTCTTCTTTATACATCTCAAAAAAAGAGAAAATAATTCATTTGCTAGAGCACTAGACGTATCTTTTCTCTCTGAGAAAATCCTACTCAGAAACCTTGGTCCTCACTGTGGTAGAGGCTTGAGGAAGAGCTCTTTACTGGAGTCTCTTTGTGTCTTTGCCCTCATCACTCAGGGCATGAGGACCATTCATGTCTCAAATGCTCCAGGAGCCTGAGATGCTGCAGGGACAAAATCTTCTCAGGCTTATCTGGTTCCCTGCCTTTGGCTGCTCTGATCAAGTTAACTGTTCCAGCAATCAGTCTGCATGGGGAAGCAGTCGGCAACCTGAGAGTGTGTGTGTGTATGTGTGCAGACAAAAAGGGAAAGGGATGTTGTGGCAACACCTGTATGTGAACTAGCAGTGCAGACTGTGTCTGTCCCGTAATAAAGAATGAGTGGGGAATCGGCTTTTTCCTCTGATCTGGCACTGCAGTGTGACACATCTTTTAGCAACCAGATATTCTTTTTTTATTGTGTTGAAAATAGACATAACCGTCTCAACCATCTCTATACATTTAATGACGTTGATTACATTCTTCATGTTGTAGAACCATTACCCCTTTTCCAAAGCACCCCATCACCATTAACATAAACTCAGTATCCCCTAAGCAAAAAAGAGTCCCTTCCCCTGCGTTTGTCTCTCAACCCAAGTAACTATTAATAATCTTTGGTTTCTATAGATTGGCTTATTTTGTAAAAGTGAGATTACATTAAGTTAAGCGCTGTCAAGTCGGTTCTGATTCACGGTGACCCTGTGTAGGGTTTCCAAGGAGCAGCTATTGGGTTTGAAGTGCTGATCCTACAGTGCCACACAGTGTTTGCATTTTTGTGATGGATTTATTTTAGTCAGCATAGTGTTTCCAAGGTTCACCCCTGAGGCATGCATGAGGTCTTCATTTCTCTGGATGGCTGAGCAGAATTCAATTGTATGAATTTACCACATTTTGTTTATCCACTTACCTGGTGATAGACACTTGGGTTGTCCTACCTTTTGACTCTTGTGAGAATGAACGCTGTAATGGACACTGGCATACAGACCACCAGGTAGTCATAACACAGTCCCGGTTATAGACATGTGCTGTTGGTACTCAGAAGGGGTTTTGTCTGGTATTTCCCAAAGTGAGTTTGTGAGATTAAATTCAAAGATCAAATAGGCATGGGGATTCCAGGGTTAAGCAGGTTTCCTTATGACAGGACCTATCCATACAATGAAGTCCTGCTGTGGCACTGTGGGTTAATGCACTGGGCTGCAAAGATGGTTTGAACCACAAAGTTGGTGGTTCAAGCTCACCAGCAGCTCCTCAGAAACCATGTACAGGATCACTATGGGTCGGAACCGACTTGACAGCACTTAAAGATAATAATAAAATCCATACAATAAGTATTGGACTGTGAACCACAAGGTCAGCGGTCCCAGCCCACCAGTAGCTCTGTGGGAGAGAGATGAGGTTTTCTGCTCCCGAGATGATTGAAAATCTTGGAAACCCTAAATAGGGTATCTATGAGTTGGCGCTGACTTGACAACATATAACAATAACAATATCAGAGTCTTCACTCTATGCTAATATGTGTTGATGACTTGATGGCACTTAATAACAACAATACATACTGAGAAGCAATAATATACATAGCACATAGTGGATCCAAGTTTCACGAAAGGATTCATGTGGGCAGTGCTCAGGCTGTGTAGCATCTTAGAGCACGGTGCTCCACTCAGGGAAACAGTTTAGACCAATACCCTACTTTCATACTTACCAATACCAATACTTTGATAGGTGAGAAAGCTGACATCCAGTGAGGTAATGCTTAATTTTTGTCAGAGCACATAAAGCCATAGCTGTTAGTTGCCACTAAGTGTGGCAACTTCGACTTATGGTGACCCCCTGTGTTCAGAATAGATCTGGGCTCCAGTAGATGTTCAAAGCTGTGACCTTTCAGAAGTAGATCACCAGATCTGTCTTCCAATGCATCTCTGGGTTCAAATTGCCAACCTTTCAGCTAGTACTTGATCACTTTAGCCAGCTGTATCACCCAGGGACTCTATACCTGCCTTGAGGCTGCTGAAGACCCTGGTAATCAGAGGAACGGGTAGCTGAACTCTGTATTTATAATTCAGAATCACTGCTGAGATGTTCTGGTCTACCTCTTAGACATCACATATGCAGATATGAAGGTCAGAGAGGGACGTTGACTACTGTCAGTTATGTGGTTGTCTAATGGCCAGACTTGGGATTCCTGGGTTCACCTTAAGTCGATTCACTTGCCCAAGCTCTATGCTCTTAATCACAACACTTATGCGACATATGTCCCTAAATATTTTAAACATTTTCATTTTGTAGTAAATCTGTCAGGTCGGGATGGCCAGCTGGTACTCTCTCTATTTGACAGGTGAGGAAAGTGGGGTTCCCTATGAGTGGACGTAGAGTGTCCTGGCCCAGGTCAGTTGACTGAGTGACACAGCCGGCATGAAGCTTAAACTTTGTGCTGGTCTCTAGTTTGGTTTTCCAAGATTGTTGTTTGTGGTTGTTAAGTGCTGTCAAGTTGGTTCCAACTCACAGTGACCCTGCATTGGGTTTCTGAGTAGCAACTGGTGGTTTGAATTAGCAGCCAAAAAGAAATGAAGTCAGCTTTCAGAATCCATTGCACAAGGTTTGCATGATTTTTCAGGGCCACTGTCCACCCTGTCCATTCCCTCATGTCCACATCCAAGGTTGACTCCCTTGGTCTCACTGAGTATGTTCCTTTTCAGGCTGCCCACTCTTACTCCTTCCAGCCTCCCTCCTACTTCCTTTTGCACAACCACTCACCGGGCGAGGGCGGGTTTCTCGCAGGAAGGACTTGAGGTCTCCACCTGCCATGAGCTCCAGCAGGATAAACCGGGGCAAAGCTTGCAGGCTCACCCCAATACAGCGCACGATGTTCTGGTGATTGAATTTGCTGCGGGGGGTGAAACCAAATTTAACTGAGCTCAGAATCTGGGAAAATCTTAACAAATTAAAAAGAAAATGCAGGATGCAAGGTTATGTTTTTGGTACATGGATGCTGTAAGTACGTGTAATGTGGGGAAGGGACTCTAGTTGGGGAAAGAAGCGCTGAGGTTTGTTAGGACATGCAGATTCCTGGTATGGCTCTGTGAGTTAATGCTCTGGACTGCAAGGTCCGTTTGAACTGCAAGATTGGTGGCTCAATCTTGGGGTTGTAGTGAGTTGGAACTGACTTGAAGGCACTTAACAAAATTAGGACATATAGGGTAGTGGGGCCAGAGAACTTCAGATGTGCACACACCCAGGGCTTACATGTGCACAGATATGCACACAGCACACACATATACACATATGCACTCAGAGTTGAAATAATGTATGAATACAGACTGAAATGTAAGTATGTTAATGGTCAGTTATCACTGAGTCATAAGACTGAGTGAGTTGGGTCTCTTCCCATCTAATCGTATACTTTCTAAACCTTATTAAATAATCATAGATTCCATGTATAATTAGAAAATAAAAATTCTATTTATAACCCCACTGTGTGTTCTCCTGTGGTCCTAGGCCCATAAGCATATCACATCACTGACCTCCTCCTCCCTGCCACTTTCATCAAAGGGAGACCTGGGCTGCCCCAAACTGGTAGAATTGGGAGACTTCCCAGTGCAACGGAGCTCCATGAAGCTCAGGCAGTCTTTGGTGTCTGACATCTGTTTCCCCTGTCAGTGGATGCCCTTGGGTACCTGGGGCATTCAGATGCCCAGCTTAGAAGCCTGGCTTAAATCTCGACCCTGAAGTCACAAGTTAGAGGGCACAGTCAGCAGGGACTATACCCTTCTAAGTGTACCCAGGGTGGGGCACATTTCTTTTATAGTAGGCCTCAGAACTGGGATTGGTGAAGGGTTTGGGAAAGTGTTACATGGAGAAAGATTACAGCTTCTACTTCCAAAAAAACTAGCATGCTCTCTTTCTTTTCTTTGGGTTTTTTGAAAACAGAAGCAGAAATCTATTTCTCTTGGCAGGGAAGAGGATGGGTGGGGTGCACTGTACCCTTCTCCCCTCATGGCACCAAAGAAGACAGGCAGGGTGCCAACTGTCTTCCTCTTCTTTTCCTAAGTGAAAGCTGAAGCTCTTAGGTGGGGGAGGCAGAAAACAGTAGTGCAGGCAGGGCAGCTGGTGGGGAGGTGGGCTTGGGGTAAACTTGAGAGGGGGTCAGGGCACCATGATGTGGTAGAGGTTGCCTGGCATGGGCTTGTTGACCCTGTGGACCACCAGCATATACTCCCCCATAAGTGAAGGAAGTCCTGGTGTGGTGCTGTGGGTTAATGCGCTGGACTGCAAAGCCGGTTTGGACGTGGTTCATGTTCACCAGTCGGTCCTTGGAAACCCTATTCAGGGTCGCTATGGGTTGGAATCGACTCGATGGCACTTCACAACAACAGCAAGTGAAGGAAACAGAACCAATGGATGACAACAGAGATGTTGGCTGCTGACAGAGTGTACCAGCTGGGTTACTAGGTCATGGAGATTGTTTTCTGAGACAATTGACCCAGGCCTGTCCCTCACTGGTAGGCTGTGCCAAGGATTTTTCAGGGCCCATGTTAGGAACATGCAGCAGGACTTGGTAGTAACATCTCCATAGTCCTTATGGGGGTGAGAGAAGGAGTGAAGGGGGTTTCTGCAGTTTTACCTGATGATGAGAGCTTCCATGAGGAAATCCAGTTCATCCTGCTCTGAACACACCTCTGGCAGCGTCTGGGCACAGGAGGGGAGGTGGAGAGGAGGGAGAGGCTGTCAGATGAGAGACTGGGTAGCACCAACAGTTAACATGCTCAGCTGATCACTGAAAGATTGGAGGTTCGAGTCTACTCAGAGGCACCTCAGAAGAAAGGCTTGTCCATCTAGTCCTGAAAAGCCTCAGCCATTGAGACCCTCTGGAGCACAGGTCTACTCTGACACCCGTGGGGTCAACTGGAGTTAAAGGTGACTCAGTGACACTGATTATAGCCGAGGTCAGGCTCAGGGGGAGCCCCGCCTTACCTTGACAGCCACTTGCAGGGGGCCCGCGTCGTTGGACATTCCAGACACCTGGCCTTCATACACCTCCCCAAATGCACCATGGCCCAGACCCCTGTGCAAAGGGGAAAACATGTGAGCAGAGTCAGGCTGGGCCACAAGAAGGAGCAGCTGGGGCCTCTGAACCTGAAGGTCATATTTCACCAACCAACTGCCATTGAGTAGACTCGAACTCATCACTAACCTGTGTCGGGTTTCTGAGGCTGTTAATCTTTAGGGGAGCATAAAGCCTTGTCTTTCTCCTAAGGAGCGGCTGGTGGGTTTGAATTGCCAACCTTGTGGTTAGCAGTCCTGTGCTTATCCTACAGTGTTACCATAGTTCCTTTAGTAGATGCAAAAAAAGACCAAGGGTAACAGAGACAGCCAAGAAGAATGGCTCTCCAAGCAGCCTAGCTATGCATTCTTGAACCGCCATTTCTTTACCTGAAAACGTAAAGAAAGCTTCTAACTGGGGATTCAAGGCAATGGCCTAATGTTCATTCAGTGAGTAAATGCTTATTGAAATCCTGACATTTGACTAGACTGCTAACCACAAGGTCTGCGGTTCAAATCTACCTGCTGCTCCTCGGAAACCCTCTACAGGGTTGGTATGAGTTGGAATCAACTCAATAGCACTTAGCAACAACAACAGAGGTGAATAAGACATGGTCCCTGGGAGGGACAGGCCATGGACACAGGGAGCTCTGGGAACTCCAAGGAGAGGCTAGGAAGTCTTCCTGGGGGAGCCTTGAATGAATTTAAAATATATATTAACTGTGCTAAAATAGATACAGCAAACATTTGCTAGTTAAATTATTTTAACTGTACAATCAGTGGCATTAATTGCACTCACCATGCTTCAATGATCCCTATCCATTTCCAAAAGTCTCTCATCCAAGGTTAAGCAGTAACTTCCCATCTTCCCTCTCCACTGATAAGTTTTGGTCTCCATACACTTGTGTATTATAGATATTGTATCTAAGTGGGATCATACAGCACTGGTCCTTTTGTGTCTGATTTATTTCACTCAGTACAATGGTTTCAAGTTTATTCATGTTGTAGCTTGTATCAAGACTACCTGAATGGATTTAGAGGACAGTCTGGTTCTTCCCATTGAGCCTGTCCCTCTTTCTTATAAACCCATGAATTTCTATATGGAGTCTTACAGGAAATACATACCAATGTCCCTAAAGGCCTATGAATATTAAGTTTTGCCCACTGGGGTGGTCCAGGGGTGGCTTTGCTGGCCTGTTGAGATGAGGAATCCATGGTGCTGTGAAGACACCCAACTACACAGGCCCGTCCCTCAGAGGGCGGTGGCAGGGGCTCACCGAATGAGGATGATGTTTTTCCGTGGTACCTCCTTCAGGTCACTGATGGAGGAGGTCTTGCCAGCAAAGCAGTAGTTAGGGTTGTAGTCAGTCATGATGGTTGAGGTGCGGAGTTTGCTCAGTTTGTACTCTGGGCTCTGCAGCTCTATCTGCATGGCTTGTAGCTCCTGGTGTTTCCGGCGGTATACTGCAGGTAGACAGAGGTCCACTGAAGGTGGCAGGGCCCTTGATGCCCAGCCTAGGCCACCTCTTCCAGGAAGCCCTCCTGGAGCACCAGCAGCCCTCCTGACCTTTAACCCTGAGTGATACTAATTTAGCAATACCAACAACAGTGACCACCACAGCTATGAAAGTATAATTTTAATAGAAACGTGGTCAAAAGTACAGAGTAAAGCTTAGGATGATAGAAACGGAAAATATTTTATTGTTATAACACAGGAACAGAGTCATGGTAATCTGGGTCCTCTGAGGAGAGACTCAAGATAGGATGAAATGTTTAAGGACTTTATTATGAGGAAATGGGGGGAGCAGTCAGGAAAGCTCACAGAGCCCCCAGACTGCAGTGTGTGTCTGATCGACATGAAGGAGGGAAAGTTGAGGAGAAGCCCCCTAGATTAGCAGGCAGTCTACGGAAGCCTGTGTGGAATCCTGGAGAATGGGCATGGCGTTCCTGCTAGGCTCTGTCCCCTGATGTGGCAGTCCAGGGAGCACACGCTCAGTGGAAACAGGACATGGATTTGCGAGTGGAGCGGCTATAGCCCTCAGTTATTTGTGCTGCTGGGGATCCGCAGAAGAGAGGGCTCAACTGGTTTCTGAGGACTAATTCCATCTGTTACAGGCTAGTAACACTGACCAGGTCTCTTGACCTCTTTAGTCTGCAATTTCCTTCTCTGGATGCAGAGGTAGGCCCTCTGCCCTACTTCAATATCCCCACTCCCTACACCCTTGGATTGTTGTAATAAAATGAATTCATGACCACACAAGGGTTGTGAACTTTTTAAATGAGCAGTACCAATGTGAGTAATCATTACCGCTTTTTCCTACACATGAGGGCTCTGTGAGACAAACCTATGGGAGACAGGAAGAGGTGGAGATTTACAGGGGGGGATTTACTGGCCAGAGTACATTCCCTCATCCATGGGACATGCTAACCATGATCACAGGGCTCTTTGAGGATTTAATAAATCAAAATGCAATGTAGTGAGTGTGCAATGAGTGTCTGCTTGTATCCCCTGTCCTTCGGAATGATATGGTGTCATTTGGAAACAAACTGTCCACCTTATAGATGACCCAGCCTAGAAGGGGCTGGCTGAGCCTCTCTCTCTGCTTTCCTGCTGTTCCTGTCCCTCTAGCCTAAGTGGGGGAAGGAAGAGGCTGTAGATCCAGCAGGAATGTACTCTGAAACCAGTGTGTTACTCCCCCTGCTTGGGGTGGGAGGGCCTGAGGAAGAGTGGGGCTCAGAGAGGAAGCTGTGCCCATCAGAGTACATGGTCTGATGAGAGCCCAAAGTGAAGTCTAGGGGTGATCTGTAGCCATTGGGTCAACTTCTAAAGAGTGACCACCACTCCCTGAAGTCTTCCATGAGAAGCCAGGAGACCATACAGAGGGTTGAGGCTCTGAATCAGGGTTCCTCTGGGGAACCCTAGCTGTTCTGGTGGGTAGAGGTGGGGTGGTTCTGTTTCGACTTGGTCCAAGCTATCGTAATGGGCACCCACCTCCGAGCCTAAGAACTAGTGGAAAGAGTGCTCCCCATGGCCCAGCCTGAGACACCATTCAGTTCTACCAGAACCCTTTGTAAGCACCTGGGCTCTGGCCCACTCACCGATCATGATGCCGGAGAAAGCCAGGACAAGGGCCGCCACGATGGCAGAGGTCACAACCGAGAGGATCAGCGAGAGTGGCAGGTACAGTTCTGGGGTGGGTGACACTGGAAGACATATCCCAACACTGTGCTGAGAACACACTGGTTACCTGGAGAGCCTCAGCTGGTCCCTCAAGAAACAACCTTCCCAGCCAGAACCAAAGCCTCCTGTCCCCCTGCCCTGCAAATCCTGCGCACCCTCTGTGTCATAGGACACTGCCATGGGCCAGGTCGTCCTGGGTTCTACAGGCTTTTAGTGGTAACTTTGGGGTGGAGGGAAAACTTAACAGAGACAAATAACAAAAAGTCTGGATTGCTGGTATAAAACATCAACTGCACAAGAAAACAATAGTGCAAATGGAAAAGATGCAGGGGCCTTAAATGAAGACAAACTCAATATGACCCAACAGTAGACTATGCCTGCCAGCAACACTCTTGGCTAAATTTTCTCTTCAATGGCCCTCTGGAACACAAAGCCAGCACAGTGAGATGGTACACCTGGTGCCACCTGGGTGCACATGCAGGCATTGGACTTGGCAACAGACACTGTATTTCAAAAGGGCCATTGATGAACTGGAACACATGGAGATGTCGGAGACTAGGATGGTCAGGAGACATGGAATTGTCTTGTGTGAAGCAATTGAGACTAACTGGGATTACTCAATCTGGAGAAAGTTTGAGAGAGGAAGATAAACGCTCAGTCTTCCGACAATGGCTGAAAGGCAATGTTGCAAGTAAGAAATCCCGGCTCTGTAACTCCCCATCCATGGGGCAGAGTGCCTGGTCTCTACCACTGGAGTGTTTGCGTGGAAACAGGACATCCACTTGGTGGGGATGTCAGAAACTGCATCCTGGGTTAAGGATGATGATGTTGTTGTTGTTAGGTGTCACCGATTACCAGTCACAGCAAGCCCATGTGACAGAGTAGAATTGCCCCATGGCGTTTTCTAGGCTATAATCTTTATGGAAGCAGATCACTAGGCCTTTTTCCTGGAGAGCTGCTGGATAGATTCTAACTGGTGACCTTTTGGCTAGCAGTCAAGCACTAAAATGTTGCACCACCAGGGCTTCTTGGGATGGGATGACTTTTTTAAAAAAAAAGAGTGTTGTTTTTGTTAATTCCTGTTGAATCAGTTCCAACCCATAGTGACTCTGTGTAGGTTTTCTGAGGAGCAGCTGGTGAGCTTGAATGGCTGACCTTGCAGTTTCAAATGGCTTTGCAGTCTGGCGCATTAGCCCACAGTGCCACAGTTAGTAAATTAACACTATATTATTTCATATTTCAAACTCAAATGTAGATTTTTAAAAAACTCCCCATTAATCTTTTTCCCCCACCCCCAGAAAAAATCTTTTGTCTCCACATATGTACCTATTTAATGTAAGTGGGATTCCATGTAAGTGGGATCATACATTCTTTGTCCTTTTGTGTCTTACTTCACACAGAATAGCTCATCTGTGTCCTGGCCTGTATTAGGACTTTATTCTATTTATTATTGTTGTTGTTATGTACCATGGAGTCAGTTCCAACCCATAGCAACCCTGTATAGGGTTTCCAAGGCTGTAAATCTTTACGGGAACAGAAAACCTCATCTTTCTCCTGCAGAACAGCTGGTAGTTTCAAACTGCTGACCTTTGCAGCCCGATTCGTAACCACTATGCTACCATAGCTCCTGTTTACGGAAAGCTAATATTCCATTGTATGGATGTACCACATTTTGTTCATCTGTTCATCTGTTGATGGAAACTCAGGTTGTCTCCACCTTTTGGTGATTGTGAGGAAAAACGCTACAATGAACACTGAGGTACTTGTGTCTGGGTGAGTCCCTACTTTCAGTTTTTAAGATGTGTATCTAGGAATAGAACTGATCATTGGAAACCCTATACAGGGTAGCTATAAGTCAGAACTGACTCAACAACACTTAACAACAACAACAACGGTAGTTCTCTGTTTTCCACAGTGACTGTACCATTTTGCATTCCCACCAACAGTGGATGAGGGTTCCAGTTTCACCAAATTCTTGTTAACTCTTGTTATTTTCAAGGTGAGGTGACTTTAACAACTGCTTCAGGACCCACAGCATTCCATATACCTTTCATAGGCATAGCACCCCAGCTGGGAGCAGACAGGGGAGGGACAGAGACCTTACAAAACTAGAGTCTATGGAAATGAGCTGTGTTGATGGGCCAAAGCTCCAGCTTGAGTCCCATAATCCTCCCTCCTCCCCATTAATGCCCCCACACCCCTTACCGATGCAGGAGACACCGTCCTCGGCCAGCACTGTCCCGTGATGACAAAAGCACATGATCTTGTGGCTCTCAGTATCCATGTGGCACTCATCTACCTCACAGTGGCTACAGTTTAGGTAATGCTTAATATTCACTTCCCCGTGGCCCTCTGTCACTGGTGACAAGGAGACAGAGTCAACTCCAACTGAGCCCATGAAAACTACCCTGTAACCCCACTCCCACACTCAGCGGAGTCTGGGACAGGGTCAGTAGGAAGCTCCATTTTGTGTTTTCTCTCCCGCTGGTCACTGTTGGTGAGCTGGTCCCTGTTCCCAGGTGCACTGCCACTGGAAGGCACCTCTGTGGGGAAGTCTTCTGGTATCCTGATGCGTAGAGCTCAGACGAGGACATGTGGGTGCCCCTGAATGTATTTATGTGTATGAGGGATATTCCACACTCCTGACTCTCAGGTTGATGGGGTGCAAGCATCTGGATAGCTGCGGCTTTCTGGGTCTGCTTATATCCTCCGCATCATGCCTCTATGTCCCTAGCTGACCACACATCCTGCTTCCTAGAACCCTTGGTGAGTTGGGCTAGCTTAGGGAAATTTGCTCCTGCTGTCTGATGAGGGGAAGGTGGGTACCTTTTAAAGCTGGGGTGTACAGGATGCCCAGAGGATTGATGAAGGAAACCCCATCCTCCCCGTCCATTTCGGGGTCATTGTTCGAGGCTGCATTACCCCCTGTGGCAAACCAGAGAAATGTTTAACACGGAGGTGGGTGCCCAAATCTGGACACACATGCACATCAGCTGGGCATGCAACTCTGGCCAAGGCCAGTGGGTCAGTGAGGGCCTCAGGGTGGGGGGATGGGGATGGATGGGAGGCTCAGGGCACAGGGCCTCAGTTTCGGCTCTTAATCAATGGATGTTGGGTGTGTGGATCACTTTCCTTGCCTGTTCCAGGCCAGCTCCCACAAGTGGGGGTGGAGATTCCACCACTCTGCTGGGGCCACACTGGAAGTAGTCAATGTGAGCAAGAGTCTGGAAGGTTCTAGTGTCCTCATGAAAGGGTAATTATCTCTTGGACAGCAGCAGCAGAAGTGGGGGGCTGTCTTCATGTTCCCTTGGGTCAGGGCTGGGTGTTGAGGGGATTAATTTTCAGGAGTGGGCCCCTGTGCCTTAAGACTCCTGTCCCTCCTTTTATCTGGGGCTGGGCCATTCTCGGGTTCCCCCCTTGGGCTCCTCCCACGCATCCAGGGCTTGGAAAAACAAACAACAGGTTAGCACAAGCATCTTACATACAGCATCAAAGCAAAACACAGATCACAACACCATGGTGCAGGCATGCATTGTGTCCTAGTCTGTGGGGATGGGTGAGCCGTCATCTCCCACCCCCTCAGCTTCAGAAGGCCCTGTGGGCTCTGCTCTGGAGCTGAGAGGAATAGCAGCTCCAGGGCCAGTTGCAGGCTGCTGAAGGGCTGAGGCTACAGCTGCCCACAGTGGCCTCAGGAGTTGCTCCCATCAGTAAGGAGAGTGGCGACTTTCTGGACGCTGGTGGGTTGGGTTAGGGAAGGGATAGAGAGGCCAGAAATCACAAAGCAGTCCCTTAAGGGGATGACTCAAAAGGACTCAGGCCAGGCCATGCAGAGGCAGGCGCTGAGTTGGGGTGGTTCTCATGCCAGAACAAAGTCTCTCTGTCATCAGCTTTGGGAGAGATCAAGACTCACATGGGATCTTGATGCTGTAGCTCATGAAGCCTGGAAGCAGGATGCTGGCTCGGGAGCCAACACCCTGCCTCTGGCTGCCAGGGCTAGGCTGGGAGGGAGGCGTGCAGAGTTACATCACAGTCCACATTTGGGACAGGCCAGGTGAGGGTGGGGAGGGCGAGGGCCGGGAGAGGTCAGGGAGGAGGTGCCTAGAACTAAGAGGGGGAGGGAAGTGACACCTTGAACACAAATCATCTTTACCTATATATCCTCCGCCTCCTCCACCGGAGGAGCACCCCCCTCCACCCCCTCCGAAACCCCCTCTGGTCTCCCACCCCCACTTCTTCATGGCCTGGGGGCACGAATGTCCTCCGGTAGCACCCTCCAGCAAAGATTTTCCAGACCAGAGCAAGGAAGTGTTATCATTCCAGCCACCTCCACCACCTGCAGGAAGACAAGGAGAAAACCCTGAATGAGGATATTGGCAGAGTGAAGTCAGCCACTGGAATTGGTAAAGGAAGCCAGAAGTGGTGTGCTTTGAGGGGGACAGGCTTCAGAGTCCACAGCTGGAAATCAAAGGGAGACCTGTCTGGGCCACACCTGGTCACCACGTCCTAGCAAGCACACACCTTGTACCTCTGCTCAGGTGAGGGCTCTCTGTCTCCAAAGCAGGGAGGTTGCTTGTGTGGGATAGAGGAAGTGGGAGGCAGGCAGCATGACAACTGAATTTGCTCTCTGACCTAGCTCCGTGCTTACCCAAAGCTCTGGGTCTTCAGTAATTCCTTGCCAACTGGGATGGTTAATTTTGTGTGGACTAAGCAAGGCCATGGTGCCCAGCTGTTTGGTCAAACACTAGTCTAGATGTTGCTGTGCATGATTAATAGCCACAATCCGTTGACTCCAAGTAAAAAATATTACACTCCATAATATGGGTGGACCTTATTCTTTAGAGCAAAAACTGGGTGTCTAGGAGAAAGAATTCTGTCTCAAGACTGTAACCTAGATATTCTGCCAGCATTTCCAGCCTGCTGCCTACTCATTTGGGACTTGCTAGCCCCACAACTGGTCCTGTTATATAGTTGTAGGATCAGCATTGGACTGCTCACCATAAGCTCTGTGGTTCGATCAGCAGCTGCTCCTCAGAAACCCTATACATGGTTGTTATGAGTCGGAACTCACTCGGTACATAACAACAACAAACAGCCCCATGGTTGGAGCCAAGTCTTTAACATGCATATCTCTCTCATGTATATATGAGAGGGCTTCAAAAAGTTCATGGATAAATCACATGAAAAGATACTGGAATATCTCCACATAGGAGCCCTCTCATATACACACACACCCATATAAGTATATATACACACATATGGTATGGTATTACGGGTTAATGCGCTAGATTGCAAGGTTGGAGGTTCAGGCTTAACTGACTTGATGGCACTTAATAACAACAACAATTATATTTGTTGCTGTTGTCAAGTGCCGTCAAGTCATTTGCAAGTCACAGCGACCCTGAGGAACTGCTGGTGGGTTTGAACTGCCATCCTTGTGGTTAACAGTCCAGTGCTTATCCTACAGTGCCACACTATATTATATACACATATATGTTGTTGTATTCCTGATGTTAGTTCGTTCCAACTCATAGTGACACTGTACAGTGTTTCCAAGAGTGAGTGGTGGGTTTGAACCTCTAACCTGGGGTTACGAGACCAGTGCTTATCCTACAGTGCCATACCAGGACTCTGAGGGAACTCCAAAAAGTTCATGGAAAAATTCCATTATCTTCTAATTCCATCTTGCCATGAACTTTCTGAAGCCACGTCATATATTTATAATTGTATACACATGGGGAACATGGTGGTTCCATACTATCACCACTGGATTGCAAACCACAAGGTCCAAGGTTTGAGTCTGTCAGCTGCTCCATGGAGAAAGATGAGGCTTTATGCCCCCACCAGCCTTGAAATCCTGTAGCAGCTCGCTATGATTCTGAACTTATAACATCTTTGTGGAAGCCTCATCTTTCTCCCATGACATAAAGGCTGTCAAAAAGTTTATGGAATGATGTCCTCGTCTTTTAATTAAAAATTTCCATGAACTTTTGAAGCCCCCTCATATGTACATATGTGTGTGTGTGTGTGTGTGTGATTATCTGTTATGCATGTATGTTATTTAAGGATCGCAAGTCCTACCTCCATCACTAAACAATTTGGTCATGTTGGGAAAAACAAAAATCACTGACTCCTATGAGCCTGTTTACTGTTCTGTAAAGTGGGAAAAATCAACAGTGTTGTTGCAAAAAGCCTAGGTACAATAGGTGTGGAAGTGTTTTGTTGTTTATGAAATGCTGTATGGTTGTGACTATTATTGGTGGTAACCTCCCTGAGGAGCTGGTGACAACTTCTACTCTTTATTCTATCTCTAATCATCTCTCAACTGAAGAAAACTTGGTTTATTTGTTTTAGTTAATGCCAAGTCTTAAGTGCCTTCAAATATCTTCCTTCATTTTGATCGTGGAGGGAAAAAAAAAGACAGAAATGCATTTCAGGCTGTCTCTTTAGAGATGGCTGACTTTAGAGGAATCAGTATTCATATTCCCATCAACGTCTGCCTCTATCTCTGTGTCGCTGGTTCTGCTAATGAGCAAGGGAGTGGAGATTTAAGACAGCTATCCCAGTGAAGTTATGTGTGAGGCCGAACCTGGGAAACTGTTTTCTACTGCATTTCTTTGTCAGCTCAAATCATAACTGGGGAGTTCCTGAGTGGTAGTGGGAACGGTGAGCACTTGGCTGCTAACCAAAAGGTTGGAGTTTTGAGCCCTGGCAAGAAAAGTCTGGGGATCGACTTCTGAAAACCCAGTCACTGAAAATTGTCTCCTAAGGAGTACAGCTCTCCTCTGACACATAGGATTCCCATGAGTTGGCATTGACTAGATAACCGCAGATATCTAAACTGGAGGTCCTAGCTGTCCCAGAGGAAGGAAGAACCTAACAATTGCATTTGGCAATCCCCAGGAAGGCCAGACTGGCCATCCAAGGAGAGGTCTGGATACTGCTGCCAGCTTCATTTTATCGTTGACTTTTGAAAGTCCTAACTGCAAGGTTGCCAGTTCAAACTCAGCAGCTGCTCCTTAGAAACTATATACAAAGTTGCTGTGAGTCAGAAGCGACTCGACAAGGGCTCCTTTTGACTTTCCAAAGCTACCAGTATCCAGAGCTCCTAGCATCTTTCAGTGTTAGAGGCAAAGATGCTCACAGGTATTAAGTTCCCTGGGGCTATGCTGGGAGGGGGCAGGCACATGGGGTGCTTTACCTGCAGCTCCAGAATTGCCATTCAGCCCAAGAACAAAGGAGTTATTCTCCAGTTTCTCTGGAAGGAAGGTGTCTGTCTTGGCCCCGTAGGCCCTGCCGCCACCGCCGGCTGCAACGATCAGGGGCACCGGCACTCCATCCTTCATCTGGTCAACAGGAGACATTCAGAAATGAGAAACCTAGCAAGGCTTTTACTCTGGACATACTTGAGCCCTGGTTTAAATATTCAAACGTAGCTATCTGTGTGTTTGAAGGGCAGTGGGTACCCTCTTGATGTTCTGAGGGTACTGAACTTGTGTTACAGCAATCCATCAGCTCCTGCCCCCCTATATCAGTCTGGGTTCAAGCAGAGAAGCCAGCAGGAGGCAGGGACGGTCTGGGACAAAGCAGCCTGGAGACAGCTTGGCTTACCAGTTTACCAGGGCCTCATTCCTGAATGGCTAGCCTGTATGGTCTGGCTGCTGCTGATTAGAAGCAGGCCCCTCTACCTTCTCTTTTCCTTCAGCTCTTAAGAGTTGTTATGGATTGAATGGTGCTTCCCCACTTCCCTACCCCCCCACTCCCAAAAAAGATGTTGAAGTCGTAACTCCTAGTACCTGTTGAATGTGACTTTGTTTGGAAACAGAGTCTTTGAAAAGTGTTGGCATTTAACCAGAGTAAGATAGGTCTAATCCTAGCCTTATAAAAGAAGAGAAACCGAGCAGGAACAGCCAAGATTGAAAACCAAGGCACACCCAGAGCTGCCAGGAGCTGGGAGAGACTAGAAGAATCTCCCTCTAGAGACTTCAGAGGGCATGGCTCTGACCCCCACACCCTTGGCATCAATCATTGCTGAAGGACCTACACCAGAAGCCTGGCCTCTGTGATGGGGCAGAATGGCCAGCTGACAGCAGACAGTGATCCAGGAGGGCAGAGACAGGTTCTCAGGAATTGCGAGGAGGGGACACACCAGTGTGGTGGGACTGGGCTTGGTAAAGCAGTAAGAGAAGAATTGTCGTTTCATGGACAGGCAGATGCTCCACTTTCTTAGAGCGCAGGTTTCCTCCTCTTTAAATGGGGCTAATAGCACCTGGGGGCATCTTAATGCCAGGCAGGGATAATTGTGAGGATCTACCACTGGAAACAGAAATCACGCTCTTGGGAGAATCTCAAAGGTTGCTCCCGCAAAGCCAACCTTACCTTAAACACGTATGTGGCTCCGCCCCCACCGCCACCTCCTCCTGCCCACTCCTGCACGCTTTTATTCATGCGTATTTCTTCTTCTATCACGTTGTTCTCGCCAACACAGACTTTCTGGATTAGCTGACTTGTCTGGAGAGACAAAAAGTACAGCAGGCTTGCGCTCAAACCAGTGCACTCCACCTCCCAGCCGACAGAACTATGTTTAATGATCATGTCCGAGTTCCCAAAAAGCTTACATCCTGAGCAGCAGTAGAGAAAAATCACATGGACAGCTTAGATTCGAAATGCTATGGGAAGTTGGAGAGGAACGAGCCTTTCCTGTTAACTGATGATCAGGAAAGTTCTCTGAAAAAGGCATTTAGTTGGGCCTTGAAGAATGGAGCTATCCTGTATAAGGTTTCAGAGACTGTAAACCTTTACGGGAGCAGAAAGCATCACCTTTCTCCCAGAGACCCTCAATTCAATCAGAAAAGGAGTTGGACTTCATTATCTAGGCTGTGGAGATCCATGCAGTTTTTGAGAAGTTACGGTTCCACACCACCATGAGAAAATAATAAATAAATAATGGGGAGTCCAGACTCCTACATTTTATTCACATCTCATCTTTGGTAAAATCATGTTTCCATTTTGGACATCTTAATTCTTCTCACTAATGTGCCATTTCTTGCCTCCAGAAATCTCCTGGCACAGCCTTGAGATGGTGTTCCCCATGTCTGCTACATAGACAAGAGAATGAACTCTGTAATCTGGATTCACCACCCAGTCCTGGTGACTGTGACCAACTATTATTCAATCTCTGTGAGCGTCAAGTGTAGAATGGGAGTTAAGATATCACGGGTGGTTGTATTGGCTAGTATACCAGCACAGTGTCTCACACATTTTTAACTGCCTCAGTCTTGGCTCTGACCCATGGTAACCCCGTGCACAACAGCTCTATGTGCTGCCCAGTCCTATGCTGGCTTCATGATTGTTGGGTATGCACCATTTTTGTGGTCACTGTGTATTTTGAGAACCTAGGGGTCTCCTCTTCTAGCACTGTATCAGACAATATTCTATTGTAACTCATAGGGTTTTCACTGGTTAATTTTCAGAGATATATCTATAGGCCTTTCTCCCCAGTCTGTCTTAATCTGGAAGGTCCACTGAAACCTGTCTGTCATGGATGACCCTACTGGTATTTGAATTACCAATGATATAGCTTCCAGCAGTATAGCAAGACCCAAGCTACCATAGTATGACAAACCGACAGACGGGTGGTGGTCACATGTGTTAAAGACTGAATAAATAGCATATACCATCTTATCTAGGAGCTCTGGTAGCATAGTGGTTATGAATCGGGCTGTGACTCTTAAGGTCAGCAGTTCGAAACTACCAGCCGCTCCGTGGGAGAAAGATGAAGCTTTCTGCTTTCGTAGAGATTTACAGCCTCGGAAACCCTGTGCAGTGTTGCTACGGGTCAGAACCATCTCGACAGCACTTAACAACAACCATCTTATTAGGAGTTTCTTGCTGGTGCAAATGGTTAGTACGCTGCTGCTAACTGAAAAGTTGGAGGTTCGAGTCCATCCTGGGAAGAAAGGCCTAAGTGATCTGGATTTTAGCAAAGCAGCTCTTGAAAACCGTAAGGATCAGTTCTACTATGACACACATGAAGTCGTCATGAACCAAAATCAACTTGACAGTGACTTTTGTTTACTTAAAATGCATTGTATCTAAAACTCACTTCTGATCCCACCCACGCTCTTGGTGTCCCTGTGGGTGTGCTAAAAGTTTCAGTAACACATAATCCTGACATCCCTGAATAAAAAGAACAGGGCTTCCAGAATAGCCACCCCTGCTTGCCTGACCCTGCAGCTCAGACAAATTCTCCAAATGCCATTCTGACCTCAGAGGAAAATGACTTTTCTTTCGCTTAATAGAAAAGAGCCAATAAAACATCAAATTTCCATCGAATGCTGCTGTGTAACCAGGCAGTGGACAAGGCAATTCGTCTTGAGCCACTCCTTATGCTAAACCATTCAGGGGTGCCGGCAATGAGCGCTAGAGGAATTGCCAGATAAATAGCCGAGATGCAATTTGTTTTATGGCATTTTGGATTTAATGATGGAAATAATTTGATATTTTTTTTTAGAGTGGATTTAGTGTGGGTGGAAGGCTCCGAATTGCTATTGTAGAGACTGACATTTCTCTTGTGTATGTACCACACATTCCAAGGCCAGGGTAGAGACTGCTCCAAGTGAACCTGGCTAATTGACTCCTGGGAAGGACACAGATGTATGGGGTGTCCCCATGGGGGTGGAGCTCAGGCCAGGTGAAGGAGATGGGGACTCTGAATTCAGGCTGCTAGCTGGGCAGACAGAATACAAAGTCCAGTCCTGGCTCTAGCTGGGTCTCCATGGGTGAGACATCTTACCCTGTTGGTCTTGTCTATCATTTGTAAATAAAGGGGCTGCCCAGTCTGAGCTAGCAGTGCTAAGAATGTGCATCCCCTAGATTCTGCTTTCTTTCCTCCACTCTTCTGGCTGGCACCACTAGGACCTCCTCTCTGCTCCCCGCTCCCCCAATGTCCTCTTCCCAGGAACAGAATCTGGAGATGGCTGGAGATTGTTGGGATGGGGAGGAGAGAGCAGATGGCCTCTGGATGACTTTAGTGTGAGTAAAGCCCAGATGTTTTAGTTAACTAGACCCTCCTCTACTCCTGCTCCAGTGTCTCCTTTAAATGGGGATAGTGGTGCTCAAGGTATGTTGTGGGAACAATGATCAGTTCTCAGTCTGCATCTTGCTGGACTCACAGCAGCATTTGGGACATTGCTCATTCCTGTCCCTAATATGGAGTCCTGGTGTGGAGAGAGAGAATTATAAGATAATGGAATTTTGCATAAATTTTTTTGAAGTCCCCTTCTACACTTTCTTTGCCTGACTTCCAGGATTCCTTTGAATCTCTTCCTACCTTTCCAGCTTCTCCTTCTCAGCCTGCTTTGCTGCTTCCTTCCTTTTATCTTTAAATGTTGAGTCCCCAGGACTTCACCTCAGTCCTCTTTCCTGTCTCTACCAACTATAGGCATATTCATCTTGTCTCAGTTTTATCTTGTTTCTTCCAAGTAAGTCTGTATCTCCACTCTAGACCTCTCTCCTGAATTCCCATTGTCTTCCAGACATCTCCACTTGGCTCTCTGCAGACCTTGGTAACTCTCTGCGTCGCAGCGTCGCATCCTGAACTGACCCTGCCCAGATTTGCTCCTTCCTCAGCATTCCCTATCCTTGAGTGGTAGTACTCCCTCCTCTTAGTTGCTCAGGTGCAATTCTGGGAGTTAACCTGATCCCCTTTCTTTCTCAAAGTTCTTCATTGAATCTGGTAGGAAATGCTTTTGAATTCTACCTTCAAAATATGTCCAGAATTCAACCACTTTCACCACCTCCACAGTTACCATCTTGGCCCAGGCCACCATCATTTCTTACTGGATCAAGGCAACCTCCATCGATTCTTTGTCTCCCTGATTCTTTCCTTGCCCCATACAGTCTGTTACCCACATAACAGCCAGAGTGAGCCTTTTAATGCATAAATCAGATTATGCCACTATTCTGCTCAAGAATTCTGGCTCACAGTCCTTACACGAGCCTCTGCACTGTCTCTGATCCAGACCCCATGATGTCAGACCTCATCTCCCTCTTGTTCCCTCTACTACATCTTGTGTTCCATGAGCACACAAGGCATGATCCCACCTCTGGGCCTTTGCCTACCACCCCCCTTTCAGGTCACTTTTTCAGGAGACCTCCCTGGACCAACCTGGCTCCCAATTCCAGCACTCCTGACGTCCCCACTGTTGTTCACCCTTACTTTTCATCTTCAGACATACTGTGTAATTAACTTATGATTAATGTAACTTATGAACAGCTATCGTGTGTCTGCCTCCCACCCCCTGGCTTGAATGTAAGTTCCTTGAGAGCAAAAATTCTTGCTTGGCTCATTGATGAATCTCAAGTTCCTAAAACAGTGACTGGCACAGAGCAGGAGCTCAGTGAATGTTTGTGGAATGAATATGAGTGAGTTGAGAGCTGTCACAATAGTTGTCTTGGGGATGATGGTAGCAGTAGGATTTCTTACACTTAGTGGTTCTCATCTGAGGTTGACTGTCCCCTGGGGGACATTTGGCAATGTCTGAAGACATATTTGATTGTCATGTCTGGGGGTATTGATGCTAGTGGATCAGGGATGCTGAGCATCATCCTACAATATATAGGATGGATACGCTCTCATCGTGATGAGTCACCTGGTCCAAGATATCAATAATGCTGCCTGAAAGGAACCCAGAGAAGCAGGGAGAGCTTAGCAGCTGGAGCCCATTCCAGGCACCAGGTGCTCAGGTGTGGCCATGGGCACAGGAAGAGCAACTCCCCACAGATGAGCCGTCGAACCAGCAAAGATGCCAACTCCTGCTGTTTAATTCTTAAAGTCCATGGCATTCTGTAAAATGTCTCTCTAGACACCATTTTTCTTCTGCCCAGGGAAAAGTGGAGATTTATGTAGTGCCTGTAACCCAGTTTTCTTCCTGTCTCCCCAAATGGCTCCTGGGCAGACGCAGATGTAGAGCAATGGGAAGAGCAGCTACCATCTCAAATGCCCTGCCATGCCTGGCCCGACCGGCAGAGGGGGCTGCCCTCTGTCCCAAACTGAGAACTGTCTCTGCATGCAGGCTTTCGAACTCTCCCTGCACATCCACGAAGTTTGAGAGCAGTAGGTTGATTAATAAAATGATAAAGTGCAGCAACCCAGAGGAACGAGCAGATTACAATTGAATTAAAAGAAGAAGGAAAAAAAAAAAAAAAGATGTAGTCCTGTGAAAAGACGTAACTGATTACAATCCAATCAAGTAAAAGTCCCTTGCAGAAGTCAATGCAATCTTTCTGGTTAGATGAAAGAATTACATTCACACTCAATAAATTCCTGTGAAAATTACAGCCAGCCTGTAATTTAATGACTTAATATATTAAAGCAGGTTGGAAAGTCCTGATTATAGTTGCTAAATAAAAGTTGGAGTCTAGACATTTCTCATGCAATAGGTTGCACCTGCTAAGCTTCCTTCGTTAAGCATTAAGCACTGACAAGACTGAGGCCCCTCTCCAGTTCCAATACACAACTGGGGGTATTGTGTATTGGAAGTGGGGAGCTGGGCTTATTTCTTGCTGCCTCCTCAGTTCCCAGCCCAGAGACGGCTTCTTAGATGTCTTAAGTTTCTTTTGCAGAATTGAACTGCTTTCTTGGTAACCCTTATTTTCCCATCTTATTTTCCAAGGCTGCTCTTGAATAAATTCCTGGGGAAGGAGCCTGGGTCCTCCCCAGCACAAATGCTTAGCTTCCTGGACTGGTCCCTACCTAGGGGGAAGCTGATCCTATAGAGAGCTGAACTCTTGCCAGCACAGTCAGTATGCCTGGGTTCTGCTTCCCCAAAACAGGCAAGAGGCAAACAACTAGGGAACTGGGAGATAGCACAGCGGCTGCTTAATTAGTGTCCCCTCTCTCATTATCCCTCTTTGACAGCTGGACACCCACTAATCTTTCTGGATTGATAAAACCCCCATGGGGTCAGAAACCAGAATGACAGTCTCTGAGGCTCCAGAGGCTGCAGTCTGGTTTGTCAAGTGATGAACTACAAGTGAGAAAGGGAAATGAATGTGGGAGAAATCCAGGCCCAGTTGTACAGGGCAGGCTGAAAACAGGAGCCAGAGCCCCTGCTTTATGCCTCTTTGTGGGGTCCCGTGCCTCCATTTTCCTCATCTGTAAAATGGGCAGATGGACAACATGGCCTTTCAACTCTGAAAGGCCTAATTTTTAAAATTATTTTTTAAAGTTTTAATCACACAAATAATAATATATGAATACTTTCTTTTTGTAGTATTTCTTGATAAAACACCCCAAAGTCCTCTTCCCCAGAAACAATATGACTATGTGTCTGTGATTTTGAGCTTAACAAGAATTGTTTAACCCTGGTGTGGCACTGTAGGCTAATGCATCAGACTGCAAAGTCATTTGAACTGCAGGGTTGGTGGTTCAAGATCACTAGCTGCTCCTTGGAAACCCTATGCAAGGTTGCAACGGAATTGACTCGATGGCACTTAACAACAACATATAACTAAAGGAGATGATGCTCTAGCAAGAAAGTTCAGGAAATGAACTTCAGGCTCATCTAGTATTTCTGCCCAGGAGAGTAATATTTACTGGGTCAGGTAGGATCCAATTTTCCAGTTTTAGGGGTCACTTATGAAAACCACACCTCAGTCATAGTCCCTGTGAAACCCCCAAAACCACACATGCTGGGAAAGAGAGGAACTTACAGGCAGAACAACAGTACCTCTGGCTCAAGGGGTGAGTCTTACCATCTTCAAATATGACCCCCAGAAAGTGGTGTTAGGCACTGGTACCTTCCAAGGGGCCTCCTGGACTGGGATTGAGTGTGGAGGAGAAAGCCCTGCTTTGGACACTTACGCTGGGGCAGGCGTCCTCGCCCTGCTGCCCGACCAGGATGTACAGTATGTCGTCCTTCTCCAGGTTGAAGATGCCCAGCACAGACACACCGTGGGACCGTATCATGGTATTCTTCCCTCCTTTCCCGCCAGCCGCTCCGTAGCCCGAGATGCTGCAGTGGGATAAAGCACATTGGCTCCTGCCATGGTATGAAGATGGACCCTGCATGCCAGCCTGCAGCCTCCAGTGGGCAAAGGGGAGAGTCAAGGTCATAGAGGACAGCCGGTTGTCCTTAGAGGACAGCTGATAAGGTGAGGAGCTCATAGGGGCTGTACTATGGGAAACAGTGACAGGCTCGATGTTTGTGTATTAGCGGGGGAGCCAGGGTGATGGTTTATCAGGTGCCTGTGATTTCTCCCTGTCCAAGATCAAAGAACTCACATGTTGATACTTACACGTTTTGTAACCTTAGACAAGTAATGTAACCACCCAGAAGCCGTAACATAACCATTCTGTAACCATATCTGTAAAATGCGGATACTAAGAGAATCTCTCTGTTACTCTGAGTCCTTGGGTGGTATAAATGTTTAGCATGTTGGAGGTTTGAATCTATGCAGCAGTTCTGTGAAAGAAAGGCCTGGTGGTCTACTGAACCAGTGAGAACCCTGTGAAGCATAGTTCCACTCTGACACACATGGTGTCATCCTAAGTCGGAATGGACTCAGCTACAACTCCCACCTCAGGAATAGGAGCCCTGGTGGCTTAGTGTTTAAGTGCTTAGCAGCTAACCCAAAGATTGTGGGTGAAACCCACTAGCCTCCCCATGGGAAATAGCAGTGGCAGTCTACTTCTGTAAAGATTGATAGCCTTGGGAACGCTAATAGGCAGCTCTGTCCTGTAGGGTCATTGTGATTCAGAATCAACTTGACAGCAGTGGTCTGGGTTGGTTGTTTTACCCTATGTATGTGATGAAGATTGAGGGAATACAGACATGTCATTTTTTAGGATTGTCGCTGTCCCTCAGCAAGCACTTAAGTATTTATTATTATTACTATTGTTATTATTACTGGAGTCCTGGTATGGCATTGTAGGTTAAACACTGGATTGCTAACCAGAATCGTCAGTTCAAACCCCCCAACCACTCCTAGGAAGCCCTATACAGGCCACTGTAAGTTGGAACTGACTTGACAGCATTTAACAACAACAGCACCATGATTATTATTAATGGTGATAGTAGTAGTAACTGACTGGGTGCAGAGTTTTAAAGGCTCCCATGGGGTCCAGAGAGCTGGAGGCACTACATGGAATAATAGAGGCACAAACTGTTTATCCCCATGCCTCCAGTAACTCCTTCTGGAACAACATGTGTTACAGTAGACAGGCCATCCCAGTGAAAGTACAAACAGTGTGGGGACATGGGATTCTTTCTGTTGAGGCAAAGTTAACAAAGGACGAGGAGAAAGGAGCTCAGTTTGTGAACCTTATCAGGAGAGTGATGTCTTGGAGACAGCTAGTATACTGGCAACAGATGTCTCCCCAGAGATCGGCTGTCAGGGAAAGGTGACTGGGAGGGTGTTCATGGCTCCGTGTATTCAGATTCTAGGTCCTTTCTGAAACACTTCCAGAAAGAAATGCAAGCCGGCTTTGTCCATATGTACACACTGAGGCTCCACCATCTAGAATCCAACCACCAGTCTATGAAATGTCCCACCTTCTAAGTACGCAGAGGGGCCTCCCCAACTGAGTTCAGGCCCCTGCTGTAGAGACACCTGGATGGCAGTGGGAGGCAAATGGAGACTCTCTATCCCATCCCCTCAGCCAGTGCGGAAGCACTGATTGTAGTTTATTCCATAGAGGGCATTGTGGGAAGCTGTGGTTAAGAGGAGATGTGTGCCAGGTACCAGGCCTTTGAAGGGCTTACAAAGCAATTGAGGAGGTGAGGCATGGCTATGACAGTAGAAATCTCACTATAACTACCTGATGCTGAGTCAATTCTGCTCATGGTGTCCCCATGTGTGTCAGAGTAGAAGTGCGTTCAGTAAGCTTTTCATTAACTGATTTTTTGAAAGTAGATAGCCAGGCCTTTCTTCCAAGGTGCCTCTGAGTGGACATGAACCTACAGTTAGCAGCTGATTGTATCCACAGTTTGTACTATCCAGGGATTGCAATCTCACCATAGGTTGCTGACACTGAGGAGATGAAGTGAAGTGGCTGTAGGCACAGAGATTCTGAGATCCCAGTGGTCTATGGCCTAGCTGCATGTCCTACTAGATTCCCATCGACTTCAGCAATAAACAAAGAATGATTCTTATCTTCCTTTCCAAACTCACAGGGTAGTGGGGAGGTTCAACAGCTAAAGAATATGATGAAGCAAGAGCTGCAGACCTTGGCAGAAAGATAAAGGTATTCAGAATGTCACAGCCCAGGAGGAGAAAGGGCCAGGAGGTCTTGGCTTGGTGGGGGAAGGAGCAAGTTTGGAGACAGCTCCACAGAGGAGCTGGTGGATGGGTAAGAAGCTCAGACACGCAGAAAGGGGCAGAGGCTTGTGTGAACTGAAGTGAGAAGGCAGAAAAGCTTACAATATGCCTGCCTGCAGCAGGAGGCAGGACCAGGGAAATGTTGTAGATTAGGGGTGTGGGGTGGGCCAAAAGAGTGAGCCGGAAGTTGAGGCCAATTACTGAGCATCCTACAATGTTTCAAGAGAGAAAGCTTGCTTCTGTACGTTTTAGCATGGCCCCAATAGTCATAAACAGTAGGTGCTATTCATCTCAGAGTCCTGGTGTGGCACTGTAGGATAAGCACTGGACCACAAGGTCGGTTTGAACTGCAAGCTGGCAGTTCAAACCCACCAATTTTTCCTTGATAACCCTATACAGGGTTGCTATGAGTCAGAACAAACTTGAGAGCATTTAACAACAACAATTCATCTCATTTGACAGATGAGGAAACTGAGGCTCAGAGGGACCTCACCTGAGGCCACACAGCTGGCAAGGAGCCCTGGTGGCACTGTAGGATAAGCACTGAACTGCAAACCACAAGGTCAGTAGTTCAAACTCACCAGCCACTCCTGGAGAAAGATGAGCTTTTCCTTCCTGTAAAGACTTATAGCCAGGGAAACCTTGTACAGGGTCACTATGAGTTGGAATTGACTCAGTGACAGTGGTTTTGTATATATGGAACGCTGGATAAAAATGTCATTTCATTCATCTTATGTCATGTCATAAGAATCCATGATTTCCATGGAAGACTTCTGCCGGAGACAAGGTCCCAGTCCTGTCCCCTTCTGTTCAGAGGAGGGCTGGCTAAGAGGTAAGCTTTACCCCTCATCCTTTTTTGCATCATTAGTATAGTCATTTACATCAATCTGCATGCATTATGAATCATTCTGAACTCTTTCACATGTTTAAATATAGCCAAATTATTGTGTTTTCAAAGTTGTTTGTTCCTGGCTCTCTTTTTCCTCCCTAAGCCTCCTTTCCTATTTCTCCCTCTTCCATGCCAGCCCCATCCCTGCCCTGACCTAGCTGTGGACAGTGAGGTGGGATGTTAGATCTCTTCCTCCCTCTGATGCCTTAATGGTTAGGGGCAACTGGGTCAATCTCTCAGAGCCTCAGATTTCCCCCACTGCTGACAAAAACAAGGACAAGTTCCCCTGTCCTCACTAGCAAGAGTAGTGAATTTCATAATGTTGCAATTTAAGACAAAGTACAAGGTAGGTCTCTGGGCTGGGGTCAGATCTCTATGCTGGCCAGAAGCCAGAATTTACTTTCCTATGTGGTGGTTTCTGGGTGGTGAATATAGTTAATGTTCTTGGCTGCTAATAAAAGGACTGGAGGTTTGAGCTTGCCCTCAGGCACTGTGGAAGAAAGGCCTGGTGTGATTCCTTGAAAAATCAGTCACTGAAAACCCTAAGGCATACAGACATACACGGTATCACCATGAGTTGAAATCAGCTTGGTGACTACTAGCTTGGTTGTGTGTATGTGTGTGTGTGGTAGTCTCAGTCCCACACTTTCAAACTTGACTAGGGGCTGGCTTAAAGCAGAGGTGCTGGGAAGGGGCGTCTCCCTTATCAGCCTTCTGATGCCTGAAATCCCACCATTAGAACTTAACTCCTTTGGAAACTTTTAGATCTCACTCCAAGGCTCTTCAGGAGTGGGATGGTGTTACAATGAAAAACACAAGGACTTCAGTGCAGAGAGACCCAGGTCTAAATCTAAGCTCTGTTACGCAGGACCAGGGTTGTTGTTGTTATTAAGTGCCGTCGAGTTGGTTCTGACCCATAGCGACCCTGTATAGGGTTTCTGAGGAGCCGCTGGTGAACCCTGTAGTTCAAATGGCTTTGCAGTCTGGCGCATTAAACCACAGCGCCACAGCCACTTTCAGGTAAGACAAATGAGTCACCTTGCTCTCAGGGACTGACCCTGTGCTTAAATGATCCCGAGAATGAGAGAGCACCTCCTTAATTTGTCCCTGAGGTGCCTGCTTCCCTCACCCATCTCCTAGCCCTGCCAGCCTTACTCACTAGCTATGGGTAGGTTGTGTACCCTCACTCTATCCCTGTTTCTTCATGGATAAAATGAAGATAATAAAGTAATAAATAATATCAAATAGTACCATATTTGGTAGTGATTGTGTGCCACCAAGTTGATTCCAACTCATAGCCACCCTGTATAGGTTACCTGATGCTGTAAATCTTTATGGGAGCAGAAAGTCTCATCTTTCTCTTGCTGAGTAGATTTGAACTACTGATCTTTCAGTTAGCTGCCCAGCCCAGTCGACTCATAGAGACCCCACATAGGATTTCCGAAGAGTAGCCATTGAGTTTGAACTGTTGACCTTGTGGTTCAAACCGGCCTTGCGGTCCCGTGCATTATCCTACAGCACCACATCAAGACTCCAAATATAACACAATATATAATAATAAAACCAAAACCAAACCAGTTGCCATGGGATCAGTTCCAACTCCTGATGACCCCAGGTGTGTCCGAGTAGACCTGTGTTCCATAGGGTTTTCAGTGGCTGATTTTTCTGAAGTAGATTGCCAAGTCTTTCTCCTGAGTTCCTTCTGAGTACACCCAAACTACTGACCTTTCGGTTAGGAGCTGAGCGCTTAGCCATTTGTGCCACTCCACTCAGAGTCTCCTGGGGGATTATAATACCTACTTTGGA